TCTTAATTTATATTTTAACCTCAAACTTATTACCAGTGCCTCAGATACAACTTAAGTCTTTACAAGCCCCCTGAAACAAAACAAAAGTATACTTTTTTTTGAAGCTCCCTCACTTCTGGTAGTTAGTTTCCCCCGTCTCCATTTTTACCCCGACTTAGAGTCCACAAACTTCATCAGACCATCCGTGCTCATGGACTTGGGCCTCTCTAGAGGGAAGCCCAGGGCTCGGCTCCAGATGAGCTGTGCCAGTACACCCAATGCTCGTGACACCCCGAACAGCACTGTGTAGTAATTCATCTCCGTCATGCCATAGTACTGTAAGGGAGAAGAGAAAAGTGTTTTGTTAAAGGCCCAGAGGTAGTGGCATTTACAAATCCAGGATTATAGAAACCTTAACCCAGTCAGCCTTAAACAGAAATGACACTGGAGAAAGTATAGCAATTGTGATTCTGAAAAGAGAGCATCCTTTCCTCCTGCCCACACCTCCCCAACCATAGGCAATGTGATCAAAAAGGTAAGGGAAGAGATCCGAGTCCCTGCTCTGACCAGGGAATTGATTTTGTGCGTGGCAGGGAACAGTAGTGTTTGGTAAAACTAAAGGGAAAGCAGGGAAGAGAGGACTCACCTGGAGCAGTACCCCGCTGTGAGCATCTACATTGGGCCAAGGGTTCTTGGCCTTGCCCTGCTCTAAGAGGACATTGGGCACAATCTTGTACAGCTGAGCAACCAGCTTAAACATGGGGTCATTAGGCAGGTGTTTCAGAGCAAACTCTCGCTGACACGTATATCGTGGGTCAGTCTTTCTCAGTACTGCATGGCCATAGCCTGGGACAACCTGTACAGAGTGAGGGGGAAAAAAGCCAGTTATATTCTCTGGTGGAGACTCTTCTTTTCTAAATTCTTCAGGACAGACTAATGGGCGGGGGGAACTCCTTCTCTAAGGACCACGTCTCAAGCTTACCCGCCCTGAGTTGAGTGTGTTCCAGATGTAGTCTCGTAACTTCTCATCTGACACATCTTTGCCAACTTCCTTCTGAAGATGTGTCAGCCAGACAAGCACTTCCTATAGATAAAAGGTTTGGGGAATAAGAGTGTCAATACATATGTCAAGGAGAACGCTCAGATCAGAAACAAAAGCATGGGATGAAGAAAAACACGGGACAGGAAAAGAATAGTTTTACCTGATTTGCCAATCCATGTAGGGGCCCTGCCAGCCCATTCATAGCTGCTGCAAAGGACAGGTAGGGGTCTGAAAGGGCACTGCCAACTAAGTGGCTGGTATGGGCACTTACATTGCCACCTTCATGGTCACTGAGGAGAAATAAGAAAGGAGAGTCAAGGCCAAGAAAAGGGAAAAAAGGGTCAGATATGGAAACACAGACCTTGTTCTTAATTGTCACATACTAGCCTAGTTATGGGTGTACACCAGCCTGTAGCCAGCCAGTTATACATAAGCTCTTGTAAAACATGTCCCAAGCTCATTACCCGCCTCTGTGTACTGGTTGATCATGCCTGTGTGCCAAGCTCCCTGGCTCTCCCTCCAGCTTTAATAGCAATGGCCAGAAGAGGGAGCTCCTGGAAAGCTAGAGAAAACCTAATGTGAGCAGCTAGTACCTTTCTCAGCTAGAAGCACTATCTTGTTCTTCCTTACTCCTCTTAACCTTCTTTACTAGATCCCTTTCTTGCCTTGTATCATCCCTTATACCATTTTCCCATCACCGTGCTGCCTATTGCCTATTCCCAGATGAGGAGACTTTTAAGGAGCTTTTCTTAAAATTTCCCACTAATCCAAGCTATGGTTGCTGGGTCTAGCTCACCTGTGAATGGTGAGGTACAAGCGCATGAGCTCAGTAAACTGAGCATCAGTATAGCCTAACATGTTGGTGAAATTGTGGGACCAGTCCAGCTTAGAGTCAATGGCCCCAATACTGCTGCCCTCCCGGTACAGATTCCGGTAGATCTTTGCAGCAACACAAGGTAGCTTTGCGATCAGATCCATACAATCTTCGTAAATCAACTGAAGGGGAGAAGAGGAAAATGGAGAAGGGAAAAAAAAATTATCAACAAAGAATCAGGCGGGAATGCTATTTGTCCTCCATATAGCCCAGGATCAGGCTATTTGGGTTGGTGGTTACATGCTGAGTGATTATATACCGAGTATAACAACAATAACCATTTAACTGAGTAACTATGACCCAGGCACTGCACTAGATTAGTCACTCATACTACTCTAAGCACATTAAAACAGCGGTTGCCAACTGGTGGTTCACGAAGTCTGAAAGGTTGGCGACTGCTACATTAAAACATTATTCCCAGTTTTTACAATTCTACCATGTATGTAATGACCTCCATTTTACAGATGAGGAAACTGAAGCTCAGAGCATTCAGTTAAATGCCAGTCATATTGTGAACCCATATATATTTAATCATGTTCTTTCCCTCTATGACTTTGCCCTCAATGAATGTGCTAAGAAACTAGATTTTATTTTTAAATATACTAGAGGCCCACTGCACAAAGAGATTCATGCAATAGGCCTTCCCTTCTCCTGGTGATGGCACCGGTTTTCCTCCGGCACCCGGGACCCGGGCCTTTGCTCAGGATGGAGCCTTCAGTCTTCCCTCCACCGCTTTGCCCCTACGTATGCAAATTAACAGCCATCTTTGTTGGGTTAATTTGCATACTCTCCTGATTGGCTGGTGAGCAGAGCAGACGGTTAAAAATAATAGTTTATTATTTTTAGAGAGAGATGAAGAGGGAAGAGAAGAGAAACATCAAAGGCACAACATGATTGGCTGCCTCCTGCGTGCCCCCTACTGGAATCT